CTTGTCTGGCTTTGGTATCAGGGTGATGTTGGCTTGGTAGATTGTGTTAGGAAGTGTTCCTCCTTCTTCAGTTTTTTGGAATAGTTTGAGAAGGATAAGTAATAAATCTCCTTTGAATGTTTGATAGAATTCTCCAGAGAAGCTATCTGGTCCTGGACTTTTATTTTTGGGGAGGTTTTTGATTTCTCTTTCAATGTCTTCCCTTGTGATTGGTCTATTCAGATACTCACTCTATTTCTTCTTGATTCAGTTTGGGAGGTTGTAAGAGTCTAAGAATTCACTCATTTCTTCTAGATTGTCCAATTTGTTGGCTGGCTAAGGGTTTGTCAGTTTTGTTTGTCTTTTCAAATAACCAGCTCTTTATTTCATTGGTTCTTCCTACTGTCTTTTTTGTTTCAATTTCATTTATTTCTGCTCTAATATTTATCATTTTCCTCCTTCTGCTGACTTTGGGCTTTGTTCTTTTTCTGTTTCTGTTAGGTGTGGTTTAAGATTGCTTATTTGAGATTTTTCTTATTTCTTAAAGTGGGTCTCTATTGCGATGAATTTCCCTCTTAGGACTGCATCCCATATAAATTGGTATGGTGTGTTTTCATTTTCATTGGTCTTCAGATATTTTTTGATTTTTACTTTAATTTCTTCAATAATCCACTGGTTGTTCAGTAGCATGTTGGTTAATCGCCACATCTTTTTCTCTTTCCCAGCTTTTTTCTTGTAGTTGATTTCTAGTTTCATAGCATTATGCTTGGAAAAGATGCATGATATTATTTTAATCTTCTTCAATTTATTGAGACTTGCCTTGTTTCCCATCATATGGTCTATCCTGAGAATGTTCCATGCACACTTGAGAGGAATGTGTCTTGCTGTTTTTGGATGCAGTGTTCTATATATATCTATAAAGTCCATCTGGTCTAGTTTTTTGATTAATTCCCCTATTTCCTTGTTGACTTTCTCTTTGGATGATCTATCCATTGATGTAAGTGGGGTGTTGAGGTCCCCTACTATTATTGTGTTGTTATTAATATCTCCTTTTAGGTTTGTTAGTAGTTGCTTTATGTACTTTGGTGCTCCTGTGTGGGGTGCCTAAATATTTATAAATGTTATGTTTTCTTGGTAGAATGTCCCTTTTATCATTATATACTGCCTCTCTTTGTCTCTCTTTCCCTGTTTCATCTTGAAGTCTGCTTTGTCTGATACAAGTCTGGCAACACTTGCTTTCTTTTGTTTGCTATTAGCTCGGAATATCATATTCCATCCCTTCACTCTGAGCCTGTGTTCACTTTTGAACTGAGATGTGCTTCCTGGAGGCAGCATATTGTTGGGTCTTGTTTTTTAATTCATTCTGCAACTCTGTCTTTTGATTGAAGAATTCAATCCATTTACATTTAGAGTGATTATTGATATATGTGGGCTTAACGCTGACATCTTATGGCTTGTTTTCTGGTTCTTCTGCATTTCCATTGTTTCTTGTCCTGTGTAGTTTGGACTACCAGTTTGGTTAGGTAGTTTTCTATGATGGTTTTCTTATTTTTCTCCTTATTTATCATTTGTGCCTCTTTTGTAGTTATTTGTTTAGTGGTTATCATTACGTTTGTATAAAAAATCTCATAGATGAGCTAGTCCATTTTCTGATAGCCTCTTATTTCCTTAGACTAAGCTGATTCCATCCCTTTCCTTTGCCCCTTCTAAGTTATTACTGTCATGTCTTATTCCACTTTGTGAATTTGTGTTTAAAATGACGAGATTATATTTATTTTTGGTGTTTTCCTGCCCTTTATCTTTAATGTTATAATTAAGTGTTTGCTAACCTGTTCTGATAGAGAGATGTAGTTTTCTGATTTTGCCTACCTATTTATCTTCTTGCTCAGGGCTTTGTAACTTGTTTCATTTTTTTTCAGGTACAAGGGCCTTCTTGAAGATTTCTATTGGAGCATCTTGTGGCGATGAACTCCCTCAGTTTTTGTTTATCTGGGAAAGGTCTTACTTCTCCATCATATCTGAAGGATGTTTTCACTGAATAGAGTATTCTTGGCTGAAAGTTTTTGTGTTTTGGTATTTTGAGTATATCATTCCACTCTCTCCTAGCCAGTAAGGTTTCTGTTGAGTGATCCACTGAAAGCCTGACAGGGGTTCCTTTGTAAGTTATTTTCTGCCTTGCCACTCTTAATATTTTTTCTTTGTCATTGCCTTTTTTCAGCTTTACTAGTATATGCCTTGGAGAAGGTCTTTTTACTTTGATATAATTAGGAAATCTATTGGTGTCTTTCACTTGTATTTCCAGCTCCTTCTGCAGGTTTGGGAAGTTCTCAGCTATTATTTCTTTGAACAAGCTTTCTGCTCCCTTCGCCTTCTCTTCTCCCTCTTGAATACCTATAATTCTTATGTTACATTTCTTTATTGATTCAGATATGTCTCAGAGAATTCCTTCATTTCCTTTTTGTCTTAATTGTCTCTTCTCCTGCATCTGGAGCATTTCTATCCTCAAGACTGCTGATTTGTTCCTCCATAGTATCAGCTCTATTGTTTGGGGGGGTCCAGATTTTTCTTTATTTCAGCCATTGTGTTTTTAATCTCCAACATTTCTGATTGGTTCTTCTTTATAGTTTCAGTCTCTTTTTGAATCATTTCCTGGTTTCATATAACTGTCTAACTGTATTTTCTTGTAACTCATTGAGTTTTTTTATGATACCTATTTTGAATTCTTTGTCATTTAGATTATAAATTTCTGTGCCTTCAGGATTGATTTCTGGGTGCTTTTCATTTTCCTTCTGGGCTGGAGATTTAATATATTTTTTCATAGTGCTTTGTGGTGTGGATTTGTGCCTCTGCATAGTGATAGTATCAGGTCTCAGCTTCCACCTAGCACCACTTGGTGGGGGTAAAAAGCTGTGTATTCTGAGCCTGCCGCAATCCACAGTCTTCTCACTCCAGCTGCCGGCTGCTTTTCCATCTGTGCGGTGCTCTGGCCAACCCACTGAACTAGAGCGCGGGGCAGGGGGAGGGGTGCTTTCTTTTGCCTGTGCAGTCCTGGGGGTTTTCTTGCTCAGCCCTGGCTGTCTGCTCTCCTCAGGTGCCAGCTCGATGGAGACACCCCCATGATAGCTCAGTCACCTCTGTGTGGGGCTTTCCCACAGGCTGTGAGGGAACTCAGAGATCTATGGTGTTTCTGTGGAGGGCCACCCCTTCCCCCTTTCCTCTGAGAGATGTGTGCAGTCCCAAGGTTCTGCCATTTGGGAGGAAGAGAAGATTCCCCTTACCTCCTTCCACTTCCTCTCGGGGGTCTAGCACCTCCACCCTCAGAGATATGGCCGCATGGGTCTCTCAGATATCTTTTTTGTTGTGTGAATGTTCTCTGTTGGTATATGAATGTCCTTTTAGTTGTATCTTAGAGGAAGAGTCCAGGGGAAGAGCTCATTCTGCCATGATGCTGATGTCACTCTCATAAACTGTTAAAAACTAAAGACAAAGAAAATATCTTGACAACAGCCAGAGAGAAATGACACATTATCTATGGAGCAACACCAACTCAAATGACGGCAGAGTTTTTATCTGGGTGTGGGAAAACAGATTATGTACAATTCATGGAAGTATAAATTTGACCAACACATGCGAGAGCAGTTTTATAGTAATGTTCAAAGTTTAACATGTTCATTTACTTTGGTCCAGCAACCCAAATTATGGGAAGCTATTTGTTGGAATGTGCTTAATTATCTATAGTAACATATACAGAGAGGTTTTTGTTTAAAAAAGACTAGAAATAGCTGGGCTATGCCCCAATAATAGGGAATGTTTTAAAATAAAAACCAATACAAAATAATACTTCACAAGTAAAAAAAAAAAGGATTTTACAAAGAGCAAAAACATTATTTAGCCAATCTTTAGTCTAACTTTCATATTTCCCAATTCTAAAATGCATTGAGGATACTTAATAAACAGTTTCTTGGTGAGCTCATTAAATACTATGAATAATTATGAGTTCAAAACACACCCAAATGTAAGTTCAATGTACAGTAAAAGAAAAGTAACATTTAATTCACTGTTCTGATTATCATTGTACTTATTTCTATGGGCAATTGAGTTGATCATATATATGTATTTTCAAAAAGTAAAAATCATGTCTATATATCAATGAAATATTTATTCTTAATTGAAAAAATATATTTCCTACCCATTTTTTAGGGTCCAGCCTGATGCTATCTCTTTCATGAGGTTTTTGTTAACCATTCAGTTCAAAGTTATCACTATCTCCTTTGAACTGTGATAATGTTTTTTCTGTATTTTTATTTCATCATTTTCCACATATTGACAATAATAGTCTTCTTTACTGCACTTAAAATATACGCACTATACATTGCTTTATGTGCTTTACATGTATTAGCAGATTTAATGCTCACATCAGCCTTTGACCAGATAGATGTTGTTGTCCCCGTTTTATAGTGAAGAAACTAAAAAGTTCAGAGGTTAAATAAGTTGCTGAAAGTCACACAGTTAAGGTTAATGCGTAGATTTCAAACTCATGTCTTTCCAACAAAGCCTTGTAACTGTGCTAGACTGCCCCTTAAGTGAGTAAGGTAAATGAAAGAAATGCTGTATATGTTTATAAGAAATTTTGACATAAAGGAAAGGACATCATCAATAAATTAATAAAATGTTCATATTATAGATTTTGAAATAAATTCAAATTTAGTTCCACACTAGTTATAAAGTCAGTAAGTGAGTAATGAATATTGTTAAATGTGAGATAAGCTAATGAAAAATATAGAAGAAAATTAAAGTTCACAATATCTGCTACATACTTCAGCATAAAAAAATTTGAGATTAGAATTATACCATTTGTTCTATCATTTATGCCATGTCCAAATAAATGAAAATTAATTTTTAATAGGATTTAATCACTTAGATATTGTTAGATAGACCTTGATTTAGAGTAGAGTAACTTTGTATTAAATGTCAACTCTTCTGTGTAACAAATATATAATTTCACTCTTTTTCTTTTCTAGAACTCTGGAGGTGGCAGTGGAGTTGATCTTTCAGTGCTAAATGAGGCTCGCAAGATGGTGTCGGATCTTCTGGTTGATCCAGCCCTTCCCCCACAAGTCATTTCTTCCCTTCGGAGTATCAGCAGCTTGATGGGTGCTTTCTCAGGTTCCTGTAGGCCAAAGATTAACCCTCTCACACCCTTCCCTGGATTTTACCCCTGCTCTGAAATAGAGGACCCAGCGGAGAAAGGAGATCGAAAACTTCACAAGGTCAAAATACAGTAATTAGCCAGCCCTATTGATCACATTTAATGATATTTTCAACTTAAAACTGCCCCTTTAAATCATAGATGAAATACAATTTCTCTTTCAAGGACCAGCTTCTTTTACAATATGTTGAGCTGCTTGGGACTTTAGAGGTAGTTATAAACCTCAAATAATTCTAAATGAGTATTCAGTTTTTATTCTAAATAACAGTGCTAAAATTAGCAGTTATAACTTCATTGGTATCAACTATTTATTATTGTTGTTGTTGTTAAGAAGTCAAGAGCAACAAGCAAACTTAGTTCCAGGCATACAATAAACTAGTAATTAATTCATGTCATTAATCTATTGTATTCTTTAGAATGCAAGAATTGTTCTTGTTGAACCAAGAACAAATGATCATCATAATATTCATTTTATGAATCACATAGATTATTATAAATTTATTTTTACATTTTTTTGAACTCTGTTTTTTATTTACCCACTGGAGATTGCTATAGCCCTTTAGGCACTGATTTTCTCATCATTAGATATGGGATTAATTTCTCTTTAAATAACAGTGCTTCAAAATAAGATCTCCTTTAGAAAACAATAAATACTGTTCTAAATAGGTATGCATTGTGCTTGTTCAGAGTGCTTTTACTTGTTTTATTTGACTATTTATCAATATCTTTACCAATAGCTAAAATCACAAAACTTTAAAAATAGAAAAATTTTAGAGCTTATTCTAGTTGAACTACTTTATTCTACAGATAAAGAAACCAAGAGAAGATGAAATTCAAATCAGTTAATTTTGTTCATTGCAATAGTGTATATAGAGTCTAGAAAAAGTTAAATATAGTTTTGGAGAGATTTTGATTGTTATTTTCCTTCTGTTAGTTCTCAGCGTTAGAGTTTAGAAATATTGAAAAATTGAGAACACTGATTAGGGCAAAAGGATTTGAAAATTATCAATCCTAAATCTGGATCATAGGTTATGTGATACTTTTATTTTTAAAAAGTGTGTACAGTAGTACAAGCATTAGTCAAAACCAAATTAACAATGTACTTAGTTATATAGCATTTTTTCTAGCACTCTACCTATGAGAAAGGTTATTTATGAGCATCAAAAGGGATAGTAATGAATTAATCAATAAAACAATTCTAACGTTCTTGAGTTAGTTTTCACTCGATGTGCTGCTCTTCCTTGTATTTTGCATTGACGTGATGTTTAGTATAGTAATTTTTAAAAATAGTAATTCTTAAAAATCTCAGTCATAAAACTCATATTGATATAAGTAGTTTGTTACTGTGTTTACTGTAGAAAAGTGTACTGGTACATTTTAGACACATTTTAAACAATAATGCATTTGTACCTCATTTCCTGACCATTCTCGTTAATCAGGCTTATTTTGGGTACTGGAATTTACTGATGGGATAAGTCATATAAGAACACGGAAGTAACCCTCAATTCTTTTCTTTGTGTTCTTTAAACTTCTAATTTGAATTTCATATCTAATTTGTCTCTGCTTTTGGAAAAGAATGTAAAAAGCCTGATAGTACCTTAGAAAAGAGCAACAGCACTTATGAAAGAATAATTAGTAAGGAAAAGGGAATTGGAACAGATAGTGTAATGTAAATGTCTTATGTATGTGTTAAGAACTAAGAAAGATTATTTGGACCTAAATTATAGCCAGAAAGCATTATGTTACATAAACAACTTTTTCTTCATGTCTAACTAACAATGAACCTTTACAAAATCAACGTCCGTGTGAAAACTAAAATATAGGAGATGTTTATGTCTCTGAGATGGTGTCAGTGTCTGCTGGCAGGGGAAGTTCATACAAGCAGAGACCGTTTTATGTGAATCTCAGTAAGACACCTATTCACAGTGGTCGCAAATGGAATCTTCTGGCTAATTGAACATTTGCATTAATTGAGAATATTTTCAAAAATTAGGGTAAAATTATTAATGCTAAAGGTCTCTGAATTTAATTTAATCATTAATTCAAAAGGTAGGTCAGAATCGTGCAGTTTCTGCAGATCGAGCTCTGTGCACATTGGCACTGTACTGAAAGGATCAAAGGTTTAGGATGCAGGGCTGATCGTCCTGATCCGAAGCTTGTCCTCTGAAGTTTCTTTTCAGGATGAATCATTCATATCTACTATTTGTTTATGTTTAAAATGTCGGTTGTTTATTTCTCATAAACTAGGAGTAAATTGTACAAAAGAAAAACATCTAGCTAAGGTGTAAGGAGTTCCTAAATCGTTTTTTAGTAGGAGGAAGATAAATAGAAAACCAATATAGAATGTGAAATTTGGAGTAAAATTGACAGACTTTCAGAATAAAATGTTCTGTTTCTCTTGTACATGTTAAAAATATACTTTATATTGATATTTTCATGTACCATCTTTAATGATACATATGCAGCGTATTAAAGGGTGGCGATTTAAACCGTTAAATTTTAAATTGTTCCACAGGGACTAAACAGTAGGAATAGTCTGCCAACTCCACAGCTCAGGAGGAGCTCAGGAACTTCAGGTCTGCCGCCGGTTGAACAGTCTTCTTCAAGGTGGGAACGCAATAATGGCAAAAGGCCTCACCAAGAATTTGGCATTTCAAGGTAAAATCCCCAGAGCCTTTTAAAGAAACCTGAAACATCCACTTTATTTCTGTGAGTGAAGTTTGAAAGAGTTCTGAAAGCAGAAAGGAACAGTTGAAATATTTTAGATATAGGACAGCTTGGGTAGTAATATGACATAATAGAGAAACTGATTCTTAATAAGAAGCCAGGGGCCGGCCCGGTGGCGCAGCGGTTAAGTGCACACATTCTGCTTTGGTGACCCGGGGTTTGCTGGTTTGGATCTTGGGTGCAGACATGGCACCGCTTGGCAAGCCATGCTGTGGTAGGTGTCCCACATATAAAGTAGAGGAAGATGGGCACAGATGTTAGTTCAGGGCCAGTCTTCCTCAGCAAAAAGAGGAAAATTGGCAGCAGTTAGCTCAGGGCTAATCTTCCTAAAAAAAGAGAAAAAAAAAAGAAGCCAATATAGGGGCTGGCCCAGTGGCATAGCGGTCAAGTTTGCACGCTCTGCTTGGGCGGCTCGAGGTTCAGACCCTGGGCTGGGCGCAGACCTATGTGCTGCTTATCAAGCCATGCTGTGGCAGGCATCTCACATATAAAGTAGGGGAAGATGGGCATGCACATTAGCTCAGGGCCAATCTTCCTCAGCAAAAAGAGGAGGATTGGCAACAGATGTTACCTGAGGGCCAATCTTCCTCAAAAAAAAAAGCTAATATAACTTCTCCCATAAAATACGTAAGTTGGGTTCAAAGCATGTTGGGCCCTTAAGAACATGTATCAGGGAGGCAGTTTAAGGAAACTAGGATCAGTTTAGAACAGGGTACTGGGAAAGCTTTTAAATTGGTAGAAGTGGCGATTATAGGGGCTGTCACCAGTCCAATGCATAGTATCCAAAGGTGGGTCAGCAGAGTTATGAAAGGAGGAGCACCTTCACAGGGCTTATCTCAGATGTTAGATATAAAGGAGCAAGACTCTTTCAAACCCTGTTCCTGCCAGAGGATTAAGACTGCTAGTATATTCTATATTCTGTTGAGTGTTTATTTGGAACTAAACAGTGCTTATCCTACTAATGAAAAGTATCAGTAACTATAACTGAAGGAGGCTGGGAAAATGCAGGAGCTGAAATCCTCTGAGTGTAAACATATGCATTTGCTCTGATAACAAAGGATTCGATACTTTGTCTTTTAAAAGCTGGGAAACATTGATCTCTTGTGTGAGTTACAAGCTTCTATGTAGTCAGTTATCTAACTATGTTAATAAAGTTGGAATTAGTGTAAATTTCCTGTTTAATGTTATTACTGAGCGTGTGTCGTTCTTTGTTTAGCTTGAGCTGTGTACTTACACGTTTGAACCAGTAGATGGCAGGATTGGATCATAGCTGTTTATTTGTTAAAATTTATGTTAACATTTATATATGAAATATGATTAGATAATTATAATTTTCCAGATTATTTTGTCACTTATTAATTTGAATCTTCTCTAATACATTCAAGTGGATGAAGACCTTTTTTTTATAAAAGAAGAACTGAGTGAAATGATATATAAAACAGGAATGGATGACATTTGAAGAGTATTGTACAGGAAAATGAGCTTTGGTCCAAAGCTTTCCCAGAGCCTAAACATGATGTTTTTTTTCCTTTGCTTTTTTTTTGTTTGTTTTAAATGGAAGCAGGATATGGGGAAGTAAATGATGTTAGGAACTGAAAATATGACAAATATTTCTCTTTTTTTTCAATTATTTTACTGAGGTCATATTGGTTTATAACATTGTATAATTTCAAGTATACATTATTATATATCAGTTTCTGTATAGACTGCATTGTGCTCACCACCAATAGTGTAATTTTCATCTGTCACCATACATATGTGCCCCTTTATGCCTTTTGCCCACCCACCACCCGCTTCCCCTCTGGTAACTGCTAATCTGTTCTCTTTATCCATGTGTTTGTTTATCTTCCACATATGAGTGAAATCATATGGTGTTTGTCTTTCTCTGTCTGATTTATTTCATTTAACATAAAACCCTCAAGGTCTATCCATGTTGTTGCAAATGGGATGATTTTCTCTCTTTACTATGGCTGAGTAGTATTCCATTGTATATAAATATATACTACATCTTCTTTATCCACTCGTCAGTTGATGAGCACTTGGGTTGCTTCCACGTCTTAGCTATTGTGAATAATGCTGCAACGAACATAAGGGTGCATAAATCTCTTTGTATTGTTGATTTCGTATTATTTGGATAAATACCCAGTAGTGGGATAGCTGGATTGTATGGTATTTTTATTTTTAAGTTTTTGAGAAATCTCCACACTGTTTTCCATAGTGGCTGTACCAGTTTGCATTCCCACCAGCAGTGTATGAGGGTTCCCTTTTCTCCACATCCTCTCCGTTTGTTATTTTTTTTGTCTTGTTAATTATGGCCATTCTGACAGGTGTAAGGTGATATCTCATTGTAGTTTTTATTTGCATTTTCCTAATAATTAGTGATGTTGAACATCTTTTCATGTGCCTGTTGTGCATCTGCATATCTTTGGAGAAATGTCTGTTCATATCCTCTGCCCATTTTTTGATTGGGTTGTTGGGTTTTTTGTTGAAGAGTTGTAAGAGTTCTTTATATATTTTGGAAATTAAACCTTTGTTGTCTATATGATTTGCAAATATTTTTTCCCAGTTGGTAGGTTGCCTTTTCATTTTGTTCATGGTTTCCTTTGCCTTGCAGAAGCTTTTTAGTCCGATGTAGTCCCTTTGTTCATTTTTTCTTTTGTTTCCCTTTCCTGAGTAGACATGGTATTCGAAAAGATCCTCTGAGACCCATGTCTAACAGTATACTGCCTATATTTTCTTGTAGGAATTTTATGGTTTCAGGTCTTACATTCACGTCTTTAATCCATTTTGAGTTAATTTTTGTGAAGGTGTAAGATAATGGTCTACTTTCATTCTTTTGCCTGTGACTGTCCAGTTTTCCTGACATCATTTATTGGAGAGACTTTCCTTTCTCCATTGTATGTTCTTGGCTTCTTTGTGGAAGACTAGTTGTCCATAGATGTGTAGTTTTATTTCTGGGCTTTCAGTTCTGTTCCATTGATCTGTGTGTCTGCTTTGGGCTAGTAGTATGCTGTTTTGATTACTATAGCTTTGTAGTATACTTGTTTTTTTTTTTTTTTAGGAAGATTAGCCCTGAGCTAACTGTTACCAATCCTCCTCTTTTTTCTGAGGAAGACTGTCCCTGAGCTAACATCCGTGCCCATCTTCCTCTACTTTATATGTGGGACGCCTACCACAGCATGGCTTGCCACACGGTGCCATGTCCACACCCAGGATCCGAACGAGCAAACCCCGGGCCGCCAAAGTGGAACGTGCATACTTAACCGCTGCACCACTGGAGTGGCCCCTGTAGTATACTTTTAAGTCAGGGATTGTGATGCCTCCAGCTTTCGGGTCTTCTCGTTCCATATAAATTTTAGGATTCTTTGTTCTATTTCCGTGAACGTCATTGGGATTCTGAATGGGATTGCATGGAATCTGTAGATTGCTTTAGGTAATATGGACAGTTTAACATCTTTTATGCTTTCAACCCATAAGCATGGAATATCTTTCCATTTCTTTTTCGATTTCTTTCAATAATGTCATAGTTTTCAGTGTATAGGTCTTTCACCTCCTTAGTTAAGTTTGTTCCTAGATATTTTATTGTTTTTGTTGCGATTGTATATGGGGTTGTATTCCTGAGTTCTCTTTCCGTTAGTTCGCTATTAGAGTATAGAAATGCAACTGATTTTTCTAAGTTGATTTTGTACTCAGCAACTTTGCTGTAGTTGTTGATTATTTCTAATAGTTTTCTGATGGAATCTCTAGGATTTTCTATATATGGACCATGTCATTCACAAACAGTTTCACTTCTTCATTGCCTATTTGGATACATTTAAATTTTTTTTTCCTGATTGTTCTGACCAAAACCTCCAGTATTATGTTGAATAGGAGTGGCAAGAGTGGGCAGCCATGTTGTGTTCCTGTTGTCAGAGGGATCTCTTTCAGTTTTTCACCATTAAGTATGATGTTGGCTGTGGGTTTGTCATATTTGGCCTTTATTATTTTGAGGTACTTTCCATCCAAACACATTTTATTGAGAATTTTTATCATAAATAGATGTTTGATCCTTCAAATGCTTTCTCTGCGTCTATTGAGATAAGCATGTGGTGTTTATTCCTCATGTTGTCAATGTGGTGTATCACGTTGATTGATTTGCAGATGTTGAACCCTCCCTGTGTCCCTACTATAAATCCCACATCATGGTGGTGTATGATCCTTTTAATGTATTGTTGTATTTGGTTTGCCAGTATTTTGTTGAGAAGTTTTGCATCTATGTTCATCAGCTTTATTGATCTGTAATTTTCCTTCTTTGTGTTGTCCTTGTCTAGTTTTGATATCAGGGTGATGTTGGCCTAATAGAATGAGGTAGGAAGCATTCAGTCTTCTTAAATTTTTTGGAATAGTTTGAGAAGGACAGGTATTAAATCTCCTTTAAATGTTTGGTAGAATTCTCCAGAGAAGCCATCTGGTCTTGGATTTTAGTTTTTTGGGAGGTTTTTGATTACTGTTTGAATGCCTTTCCTTTTGATTGGTCTATTCAAATTCCCCTGTTGCTTCTTGATTCAGTTTGGGAGGTTGTGTGAGTCTAAGAATTTATCCATTTCTTCTAGGTTATCCAATTTGTTAGCATCAAATTTTTCATAGTATTCTTTTATAATACTTTGTATTTCTATGGTATCCATTGTCATTTCTCTTCTTTCATTTCTAATTTTATTTATCTGAGCCTTCTCTCTTTTTTCTTAGGGAGTCTGGCCAAGACTTGGTCAATTTTATCTTTTCAAATAACCAGCTCTTTATTTTGTTGATCCTTTCTACTGGTTTTTTAGTCTCTTTCACTTATTTCTGCTCTAATTTTTATTATTTCCCTCCTTCTGCTGACTGTGGGCTTCGGTTTTTCTTCTTTTTCTCATTCTGTTTAGTTTAAGATTACTTATTTGAGATTTTTCTTG